TAGTTTGGTGAGCCACAACGTCTTGCTGTCAGTCAATGGCTACGCTCGCGTCAAAGACTGGAGACCAACGGTCCAGGACGGGCGTGGCAACTTTGGCTGACTTGATCTGATTGGGCAGGAATACAGTCTACTACCCAATGGTGGAGTCTCCATCTCCGTGCTGAGAAAAGGCGTTCAGGTAAGACAACGCCCCTTTTGTATCTATTTTGAAACTTCAAACTCTTCTTTAAAAATATTTCTAAAGTCATTGAAGTTTAGTACATCTTTTTTAAACTTTTTTTTAACATGCATACTTTAAAATACACTTTCACTATTATTTTACAAACTTTCAAAATTACTCAAACATTTCAAGAGAAAGTAAGAAAAAACCCATTTTCAAACACCATATAAACACAAAACTATAGATTAGAATTTTTGATTACATATATCAGATCGGTAGAAATCCATCCTAACTCCTATTAAGTGTACGTAACTCCCCCCAATTTGTCTTCATAGAATAAAATCTTTTTCTTCTCTGAGATGTCTATCAAGTAATATAAACTTCACTTTTTCTCAAGAGATTCTCAACTGAGTATCCATGAAGAACAAACTTGTTCTCTTGAGGATTGTAGATTTACTTGGAACTCTTTTTTCAATTGTGCTGAAGGTTTGTATTTATACCATTGGTGTCACGTTTATATTCAAAAATTGCAGTTAAATCAAATACTTGTGGAATTGCTTCAGTGGTTTGGTAACTTTCTACACATAATTGCACCTTTGAATTATTCATCTTTCTTCTTGAATTTGTTTATCTTGCTCTTCTTTTGTAACATCCTTAGAACACAGTTGATTTATATTGTTTTATTTAAATACTTCTCACAACTCTGGCAGTCTGATACATTCGATGTTTCTTGGTTTCGTTCATCTTCTTTTCTTTAACTCCCTCTTATGGTCAAAGAGTAGAATTTTTATAAATCAACTGTTATTTCCTGGCCAATCAGAATTCATAAAGATTGGGATTTCAGCTACCCACAACAAAACAGACCAAAGCTACAGATTACATAAAAATGATAAAATAATATCACAACTTTTTAGATTCTTAGGGTTTCAAAAATATATTTATTATTTCTTTTTTCTTGGGTTTTCCCCTCAGCTTCTTTACTCAGGGTGATACACTACTTTTATATAAGAAAGATTTGCAAAGGATGCAATTTGGGGCATCCCTTCTCCTTGTTTTTAATTCTTGTTCTGTTTTACTTCAGACATTTTTTTATTATATTTATGTGCTGCCCATTCTTGTATAAAGGCACTAACCCTTAGTTTCAAAGTGTACCTCAAAAATGTATCTTTTCTACCTATTGTACATATACATTTGAAAGCCTTTTTACTTTGCTTTATTTATTTGCTTTATTTTTTCAAATATAATTTGCCAGATTAGCCATCTATAATCGCTCAATAGTGAGATGGGCAGTATATAAATTTAATAAATGGATAAAATTTAAAAAACAAACAAATAGTTCACCTTATTCCCTGTGAATGCTGGAAAATATAATCTACGTGATAGATATATAAAATCACTTTATTCGTATTTTAATTGATTGCAAAAAAGATACAGAACTTTCAAGTGAAGTGGAAGACAGTAAAAGTGGTTCTCATTTTAAAATAAACTTTATTTTCCAATCAACTTGAAAAACTTGAAAAATATGTAAAACTCTGCCTCTAGGATGAAAGCAAAATATTCATTCTCCCACACTGAGCAAAAGTCAAGAATATCCTTCAGATCTAACCACTGTTTAAGTAGTCATTGAAATGGGTCATAGTCAATTGAATTTTGCTTTGGACCTTAAATATGAGCATACTAAGTGCTTCCTTTCTGTTTTTCTTGCTACTTTCAGTGAAAGCAGGCAGTGGTCAGCCACTAAATCAAAATGAAGTGGCAATTCTCCTAAACCTGCTCCAGTCTAAAACTAGTATTAATATGGCACAATTTGCTCAAGTGCTGAACATTAAAATGAATCCTGAGACTGAGCAACAACTGAATAAAATAAATCTTCCACCTGGCATTTTGGATGTGGCTGAAAAACAGCCTGAGCAACAACAACAGCAACAACAACCGCCACCGCCACCACCACCACCTAAGCCACCACTGCCTCCCTCACCAGATCAAGAGCCTTTAAAGCAAACAGCAACACCACAGCTTTCTGTGCAAGCCACTCCATTGACCCAATCTAAAGTTGACACAGAAGTTACCCAAGCAGCTGTGCAGAGTGCATTTACAGTTTTGTTATCTCAGTTATTAAAAGCTCAACAATTGAAGCAAAAAGAAAATTTCCTAGAAGAAAAGGAAAATGGATCAGGACATGACATGCCATTACAACCAAGACAGCCTCCAGAGCCAAGTACACCAGCATCTGGCAATTGGGAAGATGTAGAATCACCGGCATCTGTTTATCCCCATCTGATTAAATCATTATACACATGTGCAGGTATGAGTTTTGGTGTTGGGAAAAGTAAATTTAGGCAGGTGGGCAATTTATATGATTGAGAATGTCAGTCTTATTATTGCTTCTCTCAAACTGTCGGAGGAGAAATTATTTTTGGGGTAATTTTCTCTTCTTAGGTTTACAGGCTAGGCTACTTCAGTTGCTAATGACTTAAGTGGCATGTTAAAGTATTATATTCTGTAATGAAGATTAAGTTATTTTTCAAAAACTCCTGTGATACCAAATGAAGAATGCATTAAGAATTTATAGAATTTCCTTATTTTTGTTTCATTGATACATATACTTTCCTTTTACTTATAGTTATTTGTAATCATCGTACAAAAATATTTTCCAGAATAGAGGATCAATGCATTTCTGTGTTCACACACTGAATTGGCTCTAGAGGAAATTGAGCAGAATGGTATCTACACCTCAGCTTTGTTGATTCCTACCCTCAAATCCTATGTACTTTTTCATGGGAAGTCTAAGTCTCAAGAATAATGTGAGATAGGGCAAAAAGAACTTCTAATAGAAAGTTGGAGAAAATTGGCAGATGCATTTCCTATGTATTATTTATTTTAAAATTTATAAGGCTGCCAGACTCCATTGAGACTTTGGGCAGAATGCAATATTAAAACAATAACAGGGATCTGGAAATAATCCTAGCCCCCTTCTTCCCCCTCCCCCCAACTCTAAAAATAGTCATACAATACTCAACTTTAGTCTAAGATCAGAGAAAAGACCTTTTAAGACAAAAGTCAGGATGGGGCTAAATGAATTTTTGGGAAAATATTGTTTTGGACAGCAGGTGCACACTTGGATAGAGAAGCATACTTCTAGAAATAATTTTGTTCACAATTTTGCTTGATCCAGATTTTTAACACTTAATAAATATTCTGTATTATTAACTGCATATTTAATCCTAAACTGTAGTTCTAGCTGCATATTTAATTCTAAACTATTTCAAAATTAATTTAGGACAAGATGACTTGGTGAGACCCCCTGAAATGAAACCTCAAACCCCAGAAGAACGTCCTCGTATCTTGCCACCAGATCAACGACCCCCCGAACCACCTGAACCACCACCAGTTACTGAAGAAGACCTTGATTATCGGACAGCGAATCAACACTTACCTTCAATTAGTAGCTCTTCGGGGATGGATCCTCATGCTGGAGTAAAAGCAGCTCTTTTAGAGCTGCTGGCTCATCACCAGGCTCAAACATCTGAGAAACCAGCAACATCTAATGTGGAGTTCCAGCCAAGAGATTCCTTTGTAGCAGGTCCAAACTATAAAGATAGTTTTGTATCTACTACATTCTCTTGTGCCCACTATAGTGGTAGTGATGGAATAGGAAATGTATCCTCTGGGACATTAGAAAGGGCAAATTTTGTTGGAAATTCAGATATTCAACCCTTGGAGAACTATAATATTGCTTCATCTCATTCAAGTAGTGCCCTTCCAACTCCTGCCTTTTCAGAACCATTTCATAGCTCAGTAACTCGTTATGGAGACATTTACCTCAACACTGGTTCCATGCTATTTAGTGGAGATAAGGATCATAGATTTGAATATAGCCATGGTCCCATCACAGTACTGGAAAATAGTGGCAATTCAGTTGGAATGTCTGGGTCTGAAAGTACTCATTCTCATTCTTTGTCTTCAAAGATGCAGAACTATAGCTATGGAAGTAATTTACAAGAACCTCCTGCCACTGGCAGCCACATTCATGGACAAACTTGGACTTCTCCTGCTCAAGGACCTGGATATTCACAAGGATACAGGGGACATATTAGTACATCAGCAGTCAGAGGTCGAGGCAGAGGATTGCCATACTGAGCTGCTGCTCTTTTCTCTTTCCCCCTGGCCCTCAGGCACGTCATTTGTATCTGGAAATACTTTTTAGCTGTGATTTCAAACAGCAGTCCAACAGACTTGAATAATGTTAATTCAGCAGCTTTATTTTTATTCAGAAAAGGATCTTGCATACAATAGGAAATTGCTTACAACTTATGCTGTTCTGAAAATCCAGATAATTATTCATCTTTCAAATTCTAGCTATAAATTTTATATTTTGGCAGTTCTAAGTCAATGCTAAATTTAGGGACATCAGCTTTTTAAGGCACACTACTAAGATCTGAACTATGCACACAATTTGTGCTTTTTTTGTAAGTTTGGACCAACTTTTATGTAAAAATTTTACAAAACCAAAACAGGGCACTGATTTATTTGGTATTTCTTTTTACAAAACTACCTTTAGTCAAGAAGTCACTATCAGTCTTTGCACTGCTTTCAGTGTTATCTGTGGAAATGTTTGTGCTCATTTCAGACAATAAAATAGTCACTCTTGATACTGTTTATACATACTTTGACATTGAGTTGATTTACTTTCAAATTGTTTGTTTAGTAAAATATCCAGTCCATCTTCCCAACATTTGTATAAATATCTGTTTTACTTGAATGGTAAGTGCCTTAATGATGTAATCTTAAGGTCTGAAGAACATTTCATTAAATTCATAAGGCTGTTTGAAGGTAATTTGTATTTTGGTACGAAGTATTAATATTTACACTACACCGACGCTAACCTAAGGACAAATGGGACACAATAGTGTCTTAAGAATTTTCATATCCTATTAGGTGAAACATTTATCTTTTTCCAAAATTATAACTATCACCATATTTAATTAAATGAAATTACATGAGAATATATGGACAATAATGAAAAAAGGTAGGTTTCCTTCAATTTTCTGTACCTTTTAACTACTTTACCAAATAAAAATTAGTGTCCTGTTTTATTCAAAACAGTTTTAAAAAAATTAAAAATAGCATTTTCTCACTATCTTCTAATAAGTACTTCACTCATTTTAAATGCTGTAGAATGTAACTTTGGTTATATAAACAGAAATCAAGGCAACTGAAATTTAAACAAATTTATGGAAATTATGATGGTGCCAACCAATTCTGTATTATATTACTCTACTAGCCTATTCATTTAATTTGATTAGGTTTTTAATTCATTGTATCTTCAATTGCAAAGGAGGGGGAAAACAAGATTCTTGAAAATCTAATTCTGGCTTCCGAAGATGCTTTCTGGCTTTCTACATTTGTTTCTTGAGAAGAAGAGAAGTCCCTGTAGACCAGCCACTGGCTATGATTTCTCGGTATTGAAATGTTTTTAAATAGCCATATTGAAAAAAAGGCTTTCCAACTGACTATTCAGTTGACAAGCTAGTGCATATATATGTAGCTATTTTCTAAAAATATACAGTAATTACATGTAATTTACATGTATTGTCAGCTGAAACTTATTAGATAGAAGCAATTCAAACAAACATTGCTTCTTTTTTTTAAAAAAAAATGAGAGTACTGCATTTGTAGACTGTCTGAACTCCCTGTAAATACAACTATAGTCATCCTCAGTAAAGAATTCCTGATTGAAAATAAAAACAGCTGAAATAAAATATTTTGTAATTTTAGCTGTTAAATTGATATTTCAGATAAATAGTGGTCTGAAATGGGTGCTTCTGAATAATCCTGTTTAGTAAAAGTAAACATTAACATCAACAATATCTCTTTGATAAAATTTATTTGATATTCAGATTTGGATTAAATTCCTAGTGATCCTTTTGGTTGTTTTTAGTTCTCACGTGACTATTATATATTACAAGGATTGTGTTAAGAAAACATGTCAGGTTCCAGACCAGACAAAATGTGCTGTTTTTTTATTTATACAGTATTGGTCCTATATAATAGTGCAGTGCTAACAGGAAATTCAGACGTTCTAACATATTTTCATGTGCATTTCTTAAAATATATTAAAATTAAGGCCAGTTTCTCTCACAATACATTACATAGACTATTTCCATTTTTAGTGCCCTGTTATAGCCTTGTTCTAAACAACATCAGATCCCTACTGTCTACTTGTGAAATAAGTAGGTTGAATCAACAAATACATTATTTTTATTAAGGAAAGACATGGTTTTTACCTCTTACTGATCAGATCACTTGGTTTCCTATTTCAATGTTTCAAAATCCGAAGCAGGTAAGTACAACAGAATGTAAGGTAGAAGGTACAACAAATGGGCCTAAATGTCTTCATCTAATAAAGTTATTTTCTGTGTTCAAGACAAAATATTTTAAGATATCCCATGTTCACATAGATAATTAGAATCATTAGGAAACAGCCTGCCAAAACTTGTGATTTTACAGTGTTGTATTTTAGTCATTTCTCTTGACTAAAATTCCTGTTTCAAATAGTTGAAGGCTAATTTCCATTATTTTCAGCGGATCCATTCTAAATAGCAATGTAAAATTAAAGATGCAAGTTTGAATTTAAGAACTTCCTCTGCAGATAAAAACATCCTATTTATAGAAAAATGTTCCACGATAATTCTCCCCCCCCCCTCTTCTGCAAGCATGAAGGCCCTCTGAAAAACTGTTAAGACCCTTTGGAAAACCAAGGGGCCTAGTATTAGAAACTATAATTACAAGGAAGAATTGATAAGTTAACATCATCCTCCATCCTTCTGCAAAGTCCTAAACTTGGGGTATATATCTATCTACTAATAGGTAAAAAGCTATATTTGTTCTATAATTTGGGATTCATTATTTTAACTTAAGGGGAGGAAACTGCTGCTTGCAATATACCATTTTTGCATCGAAAAATACATGACAAATCATTGCTTTTTTCAGTATTTATAAAGTATCCTTATTAAAGAATTTAATAGCATCTTAAATTTAGAAAAAATAAAGTGGCAGCCTTGGCACTCATTCTATTTTACTGAAGAAAGTTACTGAAATTTGTTTAATAGGACAGGAGATTAAGGACTGAATCTCGTATTTTGTCTACCAAGTTCACATAACATGCAATCATATATGCACCTCTTTAGAAGAATTAAAAGGACTTCTAAATTGGAAAGTTGTTTTAAGACCTCAGCCTTCTATGTTCTCTTATTTTATCTTTTACACATATCTATTACTGGACTTTCCCACAGAGACCTAATTTATGTAACCTATCTGCCTTTTTTTTTCTTGGAAAAAGATTAGCAATTGGAATTTTGTAATTGCAAACCACTGCTTTGTTTTCATTTGTATCCTCCAAAACAATTTTATATCTTTAAAAATAAGTATAGTCAACTGCTTGACTTCAAGAAAATACATCTGGCTATTCGGGAGAAACCCTAGGTGATAGAGAATAGTACTTGGATCCTTAAGGACACATCCCTTGGTGCCAACCAGATACCATTTTTGAGTTTCAGTTAAAAGGAATCTAGCATTTTTATTTCCATGAATATTTCTAGGGTTTCCAATGGATTGCAGAAGAGAATAAAAACAGTGGTAGTTATAATCTAGTGCTTTGCTTGATAGTATCTTTGCCTAACAGAAGAAGACTTAGGGTCAGCTGAGATACAGCAGTCATCTTGAAGATTGTATGATAGTGATGGCGAACTTTTTAGAGATCAAGTGCCCAAACAGCAACCCAAAACCCACTTATGTATCATTGGGTGCTGGGTGGGTGTGGCCCATTGGGTGGGCATGGTCCATTGGGTGGGCATGGCTGCAGTGGTAACGGCAGACTAGGTGGGACTGAAAAGTTCAATCAATCAAACTTTGCGAGATCTTTTTTTCCCCGTGAGAAGTTGAAATTGATTGATTGATTGAAACTTTTCCCTTTTTTTGCACATGGCAGCGGAGGCCTAAAGTGAAAAGGTTTTATAAACCCAGCTGAAGGCCTAGGACTGGGGCGACGGTGCGCGTGCCCACAGAGAGGGCTCTGCATGCCACCTGTGGCACGTGTGCCATAGGTTCGCCACCACGGTTGTATGAAATGATTTGGTACAATAAATCTTAAATTTGTAAATCTAAAATAGATTTACAATACTCCTGTAAACTTGGCACTAACTTCTTAGTAAATAAAATATGTCCCGTGGAAATCATATAGACCTTGATAAATTTATTTTTAAATCTAGCTACACAGCTATAGCTTTAAGATCCACTAACCACAGGGTGGCTCTAGTGATTGAAAGTTGCTATATGGTTTGTTTTTCTGAGATCTTATTCCCATTTTTTTTTGTAGAGAGGAAAAAAGCAAATTCAAATGGTTCAAATATAAGAAAGTTGTACAGTTTGGCACAAGAAATGTTCAAAACTTTGGTATCTCAAGTCAATTGAGAAGCTGTAATTGATTAAAATTGACTGTAGATGAGGGTAGGTTGTTGTCCGTTTGATAGTTGAGATGATGGTAAAGGTTGAAAAGTTTATCTGGTGGATTTTTCAATTTATAAAAATGTTTATAGAGGAATGTTCAGCTGATTGACAGCTCCTATAGTACATACTATAGTACAGTATGGGAAAGTTCAATAGCTTTGATGCTCAGTCATCAGCCGAGGGGAGATTAATTAACAAACATTTTAATTTCTTCTTTTTTTCTGCTTAATGCTTGCTGCTGCTGACTGAATTTTACCACCTAGGTTACTTGATCTAAGTCAGGGGTGTCAAACTCAATTTCATTGAGGGCTGCATCAGCATTGCAGTTGCCCTCGGGGGTGTGTGGCCAGGGTGGGCATGGATGGAGTGGGTGTGGCCTATTGGGTGGGCATGGCCAGCTCTACATCGTTTGCGTCAAGGGGGCCTGTGGGGGCCTGTGCAGGAATGGGACAGATCTGAGGGACTCTGGCAGAAGGGACCAGGGCAAGTGCCAAGGCATGGTCCACTGGAGGAGCCTCACCATTCCTCTCAGGCCATGCAGGGAGGTTGGATGGTGGTGCGGGCTGCCCGGAGCCCTGGACAGCAGAGGTCAAATGCCCAGCCTGGCCCTCGAGCACCCGCGGCACTAAGCCCAGCACCACTTCCCCAAGGGGGTGCCCAGCTGCACTTACCTCCTCCTCAAGGTGCTGCTGCTGTGCTTGCTCTCCTTAGGTTGCTCATGATGGGCATGAGGGCAAATTCAGAGGAAGGCCCATTCCCTCTCCATGGGAGGAGACCCAGCTTTGTATCCAAAGCTTCCTTAGCAATAGGATGGGAGACCCCCAGGATAGGCCAGGACTCGGCGCTGTTCACCAGCTTCACACCTTGCTGCCTGCTGAAACTGGGCAGGTTGGGGACTAGGCAGCATTGCACCTCATCAGTTTCGTGCCACCCGGCTCAGCTCTTGGCACTGTGAGGAGAGCGCTCCGCTGCTTGCTGAAACCGGGCAGGCTGGGGGCTGGGCATCATCATGCTTCTTTTTGGATTTGCACTGCCCGGCTCAGTCTCTTGGCGCTGTGAGGAGAGCGCCCCGCTGCCTGCTGAAACCCCGCCCCCAGAGCCCATCAAGTCAGATATGTGAAGTAGGTGAGGGCCCTTTGCTGGCCACTTCCAGGCAATGGTGCATTTCTTCATTCCTCACAAAGGGTGACACCTCCCCAGCATGCGGGGCCAACGCGGCAGGAGCTGGTTCCTTGCTGTTTCCAGACGGTCTTTTGGAGCTAAGACTGAATGCGTTTCAGCATAGATGGCCACCACAAAATTGTACATTGGCTCCCAGCCGGCCTGGGCCAGAGCCAAAGCAGCAGGGGCCGTTCTCTCACAGTTTCCAGAATGGCTTCGCGGGCCACATGAAACCACTTCGCGGGCCACATCCAGCCCTCGGGCCTTGTGTTTGACATGTCTGATCTAAGTGATGAGTTGAACTGTAGTGACTGAGACCTGAATGAAGGAACTGAGTGAGGTCATCTGAGTTAGACTGTCCTACTAAGTTTCTGTGAAAAAAAAAGTCATATTAAGTTTCAAAGTGTGTGTTATGGTTCCGGCTAATGAAACACTTCAAAGAACTTCCAGGCATTGATTTTCCTAAAAGTAATTTATTGTTACAAAATGTTGGCACAGGCACAATGAGTTGATGCTAAGATCTAAAATTCTCTTCCTCTGAGCAATTAATTTACCAGCATGTTCCCTCCCTAAATTTGCTGTCATATATCATGTTCTCCTATCAGGTGGAAGGGCAGAGGGTCTCTTCCGGTCTCTTCCTGCCCGCAGTCCTATCTTTCTCCTCCCCCCCACCATCATCTGAATTAACTCTAAAAATACCAGACAGTTCTGCATATTTTGTCAAAGCAGGAATATACAGTATTTGCAGCATTGACAGTGTGCTTATTAGGACTTAAGATCAGACAGGTTGGGATACTTGCTGTTGCACCATGAGTACTCTGTCTAAAGCAGGGGTCCCCAACCCCCGGTCTGTGGACCAGTACCGGGCCGTGGCATGCCAGCAACTGATCTGCATAAACAAAGCCCCATCTGTGAGATGCAGGCAGCACACAAAACCACACCCCTCTGGTCCTCAGAAAAACCTCTCTCCACGGAACTGGTCCCTGGTGCCCAAAAGATTGGGGACCTCTGGTCTAAAGTATCTCTGCCTGAGCTGGTAAAAATGATTTTGAAAGTGGGGTGGAAAGTTCTAAATCTTGTAATTTATGCTGAAGCATAATAGTCATTCCTGACTATTATGCGTCTGTCTCACAATATCTGTCTTTACTCATAGGATATACTGTAGACCTGGTTTTGTAATAAAAATATTCAGTGGTTAAACGAGTCAGAATTTAGTGTTTGTCAATGTATGACTGCTTGGTTAAGTTACAATGGTTGACCAGCCCATGCCTGCAAATATGCTGAGCTGGGTTAGATTCTAAAGAGATAGCTTGGCATTCTCTATATTTGATAGAATTCTAAACTCAGTTGGAGTAAGATTTACTGGTGGCTGTAATCCTTCAGGGTAAGACTTGGTAACTGGTTACATCATCGATTAGTGATTGTTGGCTAGACCTTGAATTGGTAGATTTCCATACAAAACCAATTTCCTTATTTATCAGAGATCTGCAGATGATGAAGCATGTAGAAAAAATAAAATATGTCTAAGTAGAGTTTAAAATTCATTAGAAAGCCTATTTTTGCTTTTCTTCACTTCTTTATGTAATCGCTGCTCAAGGGACTCATATGGAAAAGGGGCACTGATTAGGCTCTGGAAGATCATCTAGTGCTTTTGGCAAGTGAACACAAAAGTTTTATGGATTCTTTTCAGGTAATCTTGCTTATATCCATTGTTAAACTGACATCACTTTCATCAGTAATGCTAAGAATGATAGTGGCACAATGGCTTATTATGTATTATTGGATCAATTTTAATCTCTCTTATCAGTATGTGGACAAGATGTTTGGGTGAGTTTGGACCTAGCTCCCGCTTGACTAATAGTGACCAGGAAGGTTTGGTTGAAGTAGGTAGAAAATGCCATCTATGTTAAAGATTTTAGGGAATGTTTCTCTCTGAAAATATAATCAATAGATTCTTCCTGTCTCCACATTAAAACACCTTTAGACTTGTAATGAATTATGAATGTATCATTCCTCATCAATATGGTTGAAACAATGGCAGCAGATGGATTCTAAATGTTCCCAAATGAAACTGTTTCTGGAATTGTTCTATTCAATTTCAGACCACGTCATCCTATGGTTACTGAGTAAACAGGATAGTTTTTCCTTATAATCCTTGATTTCAGCTTTTAACACTGTCAACTATAACATCCTCATATCATTCTAAAGATAGCTGGGAGGCAGGACCACAGGTCTATGGTAGTTTTGTTCTATCTTGAAGATAGATTCCAAAAGAACAGAGGGATTCCTTTTTCATCTTGCAACCCAACATTTCATCTTGTGCATCTATGCCACAGAATTCTGTTGTAGAGGTAGTCCTCAACTTACAACCACAATTGAGCCCAAAGTTTTTGTTGCTAAACGAGAATTAACTGAGTTCTGTCTCACTTTATAATCTTTCTTGCAACAGTTGTTAAGTGAATTTGGCTTCCCTATTGACTCTGCTTGTCAGAAGGTTGCAAAGGGTGATTACATGACCCAGGGACTCTACCACCATCATAAATATGAACCAATTGCCAAGCATATGAAGTTTGATCACTTGACTATGGAGATGCTGCAAGAAGTAAGTGTGAAAAATGGTCATAAGTCACTTTGTTCATTGCTGTTGTAACTTCGAAGTCACTAAACGAATGGTGGTTTAAGTCAAGCAATACCTGTATTATGATACTCAACATCTATATGTAACTACTGGAAGGCTACCAGCAATTGTAGGATTGGGTCTACATTTATAGCAACTGTTACTGTTGTTTTTCATCAATTTCAAACTCCTTGACTTTACTCTTATTTGGACCAGACTGCATATTGGGTTCGACCAGTATGATGAAACTTAACAGGTCAAAGGGACTGATAAGTAGAGATGTCTCAAAACTGAATAGAGATTTTCTTGACCTCAATAGAGTTATTTTTCCCAAAAGGATTAGGTACCTAGTTTATAGGTGCATTTTGATCCTGTGTTGTCCTTTATTGCTTATGTAAATGCACTGGCAAGTGGACATGATTTATCAGATGCATCTCTTAGGTATTTCTATTTGAAGGAACAGTTTTTACTGTATTCACCAGAAAATCTTTTATATATGCCAACCAGGAGAGGTTTAAGTGCAGTCTAGTGGTATCACCTTTTTTTGGTGGTGGTTTCAATGCTGGGGAATTCATTCCATTAACAATTTGATTAGACCGTTCTTAGGAAAATTGTAAAAATCTACCTCTTTATGTTTCATGTTCTTTGTTTTAATCAGCTGTCCTGAACTATTATTATTATTGCCATGTTTCTATGCTTTTTTCTTTTCTGATTGCATGATACTCCTATTTTATGACATTTATTACAGTATATTTTCATATCTATTATTAGGGTATAGATTATAGATTTCACTGTTGGGAGCATGCAGTGTACAAGCATGTTAAATATTTCATTGCCCACAACTATAAAAAAAACCCAACCCAACCCAAAGGATTTTAATAATGTAGGTTGAAGTATGATTAACAAAAACTACTAAAATATTTGTAATACAAAATGATCTATTTTACTTTAAAATTGTCCTTGTTTTGACATCTTTTCAAGAAGCTTAAAATCTTAAACAATTTGCCAAGGAAGACTCTTAAAAATCTCAAAACAGTTCAATGATGGCTAAGAATGTATTCTTAGTATTTCTCTTCTGTATATTCAGAAGTGTAAAGTATCTTCTTTCTTTTAGTATAAAAATATTCAATCTTGTCAAAATGACAGAACAAAAATATGGAAATTAAAAATATACCCCATATACTTGTGTAATGATCATCTTAAGAAAGGCAATTTTATTTCAGTTTCTCACAAACATATCAGTATCTCACAAACATATCAGTATCTCACAAACATTATTTAACTTGTAAGTTCTTTAGCTGAAATATCTTCCTTTTCTACCACAATGTGTTGCTTGTTCAAGGTTGAATTGTTGGTTAACATCAGTAACAGACACAGGTTCTAGGCCTGCCCATGGGTCCTCAAGCATTGAAGATTTATAATAATTCTCCACATCATCATTGGACAGTGTTTTCTCTTTCCCATGGGGTGTACCAAATGGAGTCGATATTCGGGGTGATCCCTTTGAGAAAAGTCATGAAGAAAAATAAAAGAACATAGTTAAAATTTATATGTATATATTTTTTTCATTCAGTATCAGCTATATATAAGTTCTTCAATACTTCCATCCATCCTAAAATATGTAGTTTGTACACAGTTATTGTACACAGTAGTTATTACCTGTTTTTTTATATTCTCACTTGAAAATTATAACCAAAGAAAAATACTAAGAAAATTATAACCAAAGAAAAATACTAAGAAGGCCTCAAGGACATATTAAAACAAGTAAAGAAAGTTATAAATACCTCTATTTTTAAGATTTCAAAACAAATTAGTTGATATAAAGATATATAAATTTTTCTGGTTCCCTCATATTCCTCCTTCCTGATGTTGCTCTCACTTGGTACCACTACCACTGCAGTGATCTGGTCCTTGTCAATTACCATGTCTGACAGATCGGCTAATACAGGCCTGTCTGAAACTGGAAGTCCCACAGGATCTTAGCCTTCTTATTCTCCATAGCCTTCAATGGAATTTCCCCTCTGGACTTGGGAGGGTCTAGCATTGTGTATATATTCCTGTACACAATACATTATTTTATGTGCCTGACCAGAATGTACAACAGAGTGAGAATAACTTTCGCATAGCTGCCTCTAAATGAGATGGCAGTAGCTTGGGATTTTTGCAGTGTCTCCTTCTATCGTGTGTTTGCTTAGCAACCATTCTGATTTAAGAAATGGATTGTTGTCATTAAGTGAGGAAGGTTGTACAGGTAGTCTTCGAGTTACGAATGAAATGGAGCCTGCCTATTCCATTCGTAACTTGAGAATTTGTGGGAGTGAATTTCGTATCTTGAACAAGATCACTCCCTACTTGTTAACACTCGCATGGCTCGTTAAGTGAACATGAGGTATCTCAGGGTGGGGAAGGCCATGGGGGGGAGGCTAGTGATGGAACAGGCCAAGGCCTCCCCGACTAAGATAAGATATCTCATGCTTCCCACTCCTTTCCTGCCATGCCAGATTCACTTACCTTGAAAAGGTCCGTCTTCTCTCTGCTGCAGTTTCTGCCTTTGAGGGAGAGGAGAATCGATGGAAGTTCCTGGGTGCTCATAATATCACGTGAGTTCAGGCACCCATCCTGAATGGCAGCCTGAACTCTTGCCATGTTTGCAGTGCCTATATTCTGCTCCCGCCCCCAACTCCTTTCCGCCACTGCCGGAATAATTTTCACCAGGACGGGAGACTGGAAGCTCTGTCATGCAAATGCAGCCAGGCGGAACTTCCAGTCTCTGTCAGGTCTCCGTCTGGGTAAAAAGAGTTTGAGTGCCTATGGGGTGCTTGGAAACGAAGCATTTGCTTCGTTTTCAAATGCCCCACAGGTGCTGAAACACTTTTTATCCAAACAAAGACCTGACAGATGACTGCAAGCTTCGCATGGTTGCCAATGTATGCTTAGAAATGGAGCATCTCAAGTGCTCCATTTCAGGCATACAGAGTTTGCAGTCTCTGTCAGGTCTCCGTTTAGATAAAAAGTGTTTCAGCGCCTATGGAGCACTTCAAAACAAGCAAATGTCTGCATTTTGAAGCACTCCATAGACGCTGAAACACTTTTTATCCGAACGGAAACCCAACAGAGACTACAAGCTCCATATGCCTGGATGGGGTGCTTGGAAATGAAGCCTTCTGCTCCTTTTCTAAGCATGCATTGGTAGCCATGCAGAGCTTTCAGTCTCCTCAAAGTCTCCCTTCGGATAAAAAGTGTTTCAGTGCCTAAGGGTCACTTTAAAACCTAAGGCACTGGTGGCAGCAGCCATCTGAGCGACCATGATTCTTGGCTCCAAGTGGAAGAAAGTGGAGGCACAGGAGCAGGATTGCTCTCAAAAAGACCCTGGTGCATTGCTTGCTCATATGCATTGGACTTACTGAGCAATCCTGTTGCTGCACCTCTTTTTTCCACAGAGAAACCTAAGCTGCTGGCAGCCACTTGAACAGCCATGATCCCCCCTCCCCAGCCACCCCACTCAACCTACTCGTTGCCTGGCAGGCTGGCTGGCACAAATCCTGACCGCTCTCCTTGTTTTTCTACCTACTCAAGCAGCGGCAGCAGCTTGAGTTTCTTGGTTCCATCCAAGTGGAAAAAAGCAGAGGCGCAGTAGTGGGATTGCTCTCAATAAGCAGCGCACACGGGTCTTCTTGAGAGCAATCCTACTGTTGTATCTCCACTTTCTTCGTTTTGGACGGAGCTGAGAAACTGAAGCCGCTGCCGCCACTTGAGTGGGGAGGTTTACAAGGAGAAGAGCGATCAGATTTGTGCTAGCCAGCCAGTCAAGCAAGGAGTAGATCGCGTGAGGTGGCTGGCTGGCTGGGGAGATGGGATCATGGCTGTTCAGGTAGTCAGTGCCGCCGTCAGCGGCGGCTTGGACGCATGTACAAGGGGCCTGGCTCTGCGATACCTCCCCGCTCAATTGAAGGCTTTGTTTCTGCCCTCAAACTAAGGCCGGTGCATGCGAGCGAGCAGCACACCTGAGCAATGGACAGCATTGTTTCCTGCACCCGGCCGACTCCGATTCCACACTTTGCCCCACAGGCATGCAAACAAAGCAAACAATCCCCCCCCCCCCGAGAATGGAAGCTTCTGGGGGCCATGATGTCTTTTGCAGAGAATTTGTGTTTGAACTTGTGCGATATTATGGCACCCAGGAGCTTCCATTGTCAGCGCAAAAAGCATTTCCAAGCCAACTCTCCCCTCCCTCAAAGGGAAAGAAACCGCAGCAGAGAAAAGACAGATTTTGCAAGGTGAGTGTATCCGGTGGGGCAGAAAGGGAGGAGAAAGCAGTTATGAAGAGTGGGAAGGAATAGGGCGAATGTTGCAGAACCTCTGCTGTCATTCATAAGGGTGAACAACTGCCATGGTGTTGCAATATTCATGATTTTGGGACTTGCTCGTAAATACTAGGAGGCGCTTATTGCGTAACTTCGAACGAGCATTAAGTGAATGCTCGTAACTCAGGGATTACCTGTAGTGCGGTCTGTATGGTTTTAATTTATTATGTTCTCTGAAGCCAATCATTAGTTGGAATAACACACACTTTTTGGCTGTGGATAATATTTTATCTCAGACATTATGCTTATAAGTCATAGTTTATGTTAACCATGACATGGTAACCTAGCACCTATATTCAGCTTTTGCCATTAATAGATACAGCACAAAATACTCCTGAAATCTTGTATGTTGTCTCATAAAACAGACCAAAGTAATTTCCTATATTTCATCTCTATATCTGCATACCTACAATATTTAAACAAAACAATCACTTTTTTTAAGGTAGAGGATTTAGAATCTTTGCTGCCTTTCAAAGATAATGATCTTATTCACAATTACAGAGAATTAACGTTTTAAATAAATTTGTGAGAAAAATGACCTTGGTTTAAGGTTTATTTTTATTAATCATTAAATGTGCGCACTAAAACAATATGAAATGTCCTTGGCATATAGTATCAATTAAACCTAATAAGTATCTTATTTTCCTTAGGTTTAATTGTATAATACTACCGCCAAGGCATTTGATGTTTGGTTGTTAAATGAACAGTGGTGAAATAAAGTTTTTGAATCCTTTAGAATTATTACAGTTCTGCACTACTCTGATCTAGAATATGATGATAGCTTCATCTAAATATTATCTACACTGTATTTAAACTTAGGCACATTTAACAAGATTAATTGCCAATGAATCAGAATTTAATCTTACATAATTAAGTAATCTTTAAATGCTTTTTCAGGTAAACATCCTTATAAGTTGAATAAGCCACAAAGTGCCTCCCAGTTTAGACGGTCTCTCTCTCACTTTTTGTATTTTAAAAAATAACTTTAAGCATGGAATGGGCCTATACATTTTAGAATGTTAATAAAAAAATTGGAATATATTTTTAAATTACTTTTTAAGAGGAAATATAATTAGTAATTATATTTATATAGTAATTGCTAACTAAAGATACTCTTTCATAAAAATCACCAGGTAGATAATTTAATTTACTTTAAAGCTGAAATACCAGTTTACTACCAACCGTTCTTTGTACTGGTTCTTAAACTGAGTTAGAAAAAGCAAAGCTCTTCAGAACTTTAATGTACTGGGAAAAGAATAGCAAGCAAATATATCAATCTTTGTTCATTTTTGGACTGGTGAACAATGTGTTTTAAATCATCTATTAGCAGGAGATACCAAAGAGCAGAAAAGGAATTCCATATTCCTCTCAATTTTCCTCACTATTGATCATTCTAATACTAGCAACACATACTTTAGAATGACCCAAATCATTACAGACAAAACTACAATTTCCAAATTGGACCAAAATTTCCACTGCTAAGCAAGGAAATTGTTAAGTGAGTCACACCTGATTTTGCCATGGTTATTAAGCAAATCTGGATTCTCTGACTGATTTTGTTTATACAAACTGGCTGCAAAGATTGCAAATGGTGATCACATGACCTCAGGATGCTGCAACTGTCATAAATACATGCCTGTTGCTATGTGCTTGAATTTTGATCCAAAATATTATAGCCTTACTGACAAGATTGATTCTGATTTTGGTCTTAAGTCATTGTATCAATAAAGATAAATAAAACATATAAAAGAGATTATCTGTAGTTCCAAGCTGAACTGTGGAATGCTTGGTCCTCTGAATTTTGTTGTTTGCTTGCAACAACACTATCCAAATGAAATTAGAGAGCACCAAGTACTCCACAGATAGTCATTATAATAGGATTTGAACTTTTAGGCTAAATCATAATTCTTCCTTATGTATTTTTCTTCCTTTTCAATGCATCATCATATCTGTCTAGTTACAATATTAAATACAATTCCATGGATTTTTAGTATTAGAAGTACTATATACTTTAGGTCAATAATGTGACTATTCCTTTATTCCAAATAATCACTATTGTGCGGGGGTTATTGTTTTTATTTTTTAAAATTTTCTACATTGCGTTTTTATTGCTTGTAAGTCACCTAGCATAGCTGTGAGTTTGTGGCCATAAAAATTTCCTAAATAAATAAATGAATTTAATTGCCTTATCCAAACTGCATAATGACCAACCACATTAATTTTTACTTCCAAAATTGTTATAATTTTAGATGTATTGCTATATACTTTATAGTTTGTTTAGTCAATTTCTACGTTGTCTAGGCTACACTGATACTTGGCCAGATAAATGTGACTTTTCAAAAGATCTGTGCTGCTGAAATAAAATGACAGACTGAATAAAATGGATTATTTTAATCTCTTCTATAGCAGTCACATACTGTAATGGAATGTGGGAATGATTTTGGGAGACAGAAGGAAGTTCTGCAGCCTACGTAATGGTCTGTAAGAGGCAGCTCAGTCTGCAGGTGGGGAAAAAAAGCATAGGAAGCCTTTTGATCACAAAATGGAAGTGATCAGAACCCTATACCACTGGGCTGAAGGTTTGCCTACCAACAAACAGAAAAAAGAATTAAAACACATTTAAAAAGCCCTCAGAACTTGTGGCTATCCCAACTGGTTGTTATATATTTTAAGGAATAGATTGCCTAGGCCTGTTTTATATATCTAATGGTTGGATCCTCCAGGTCTTGAGAGATTAATAAATACGGTGATTCTCCTCAGTTTTTTTGCAGAGCCCCAGCTTAACAGAAACCCGTTTATTCGTAAAGACGGCTTACTAAGTTTCGGACTTACTCCGATCTATAAGCATTTAGAATGACAGTAGTTGGAACAATTGCGATCTCATGTTAAAAGGCGTCATTGAATGTAACATGTCTGTTGACTGGAAATTAAACAGGCGTGCAATTCTACGCGCAATTACCAAGCTCAGAGAGCACCAAGGACCTCCTCACTTCAGGCGCGCAAGGCCCGAACGGCTGAACCGTGAACGACCCCGGTTATGTCTACCCCCCCCCCCCCAGCAAATACCTGGTTGTATCTCTGGTAGCCCCCCGAAGGCGGCTGCTTGAAGAGCTGCTGGTGGTGAAACGCTCCTCCGGGGGACCTGCCGCCACTGTAGGGAGCCAGGTACCTAGGGCTGGTACTGTGGGGCCTACGGGGTGTGTGCGCCGCAGCCGAGCCTCCAAACCAGCCTCCACCATCCCCGCACGGTTGGAAGCGGGGAGAACGAGGAGAAATGTCATACGGCCGCGAGCGGGATCCGTAAGGCGACCTGTGGCGAGGGCTTTGGTAACCTTGTGGAGAAGCTCCTCCAGAGGCACCCGAAGACGGCGGGGTGGGAGGCCGGAAGCCTTGCCGGTACATGGCGATCTTGGGAACGCAGTTACAGCAACCGCCAATTTCCTTCGTCTAGTAAACTCCGGAGGACGAGGAGTTCCGGGTCAATTCGATTGCTGCCCTCCTTCAAAACTGCTCCGCCGAGAGTCTTCCGTTTCATGCTGCAGGCTTTACGTCTCTTCCGTGTGAATTGACTTGCGCGTTCTTATAATATTGCAAAAACATAGGATGCATTAGTCGAATCTAGATGGGTTTACGTTTATCCAATTAAAATTTTTAGTATGGGCGTGCAGTAGAAACCTAAAGTTTCAATATAATTGATTACAATTGATATTTTATTCATTTATTTATGAACAGAATAGAAATAGAAATAAAAAAGAATAACCGAGTTGGAAGAGACCTTGTAGGTCATCTAGTCCAAAGATCTTGGGCACCAGGGACTGGTTCGGTTTTTCTACGGACCATAGGGGGGGGGGGCTGATTTTGTGTGTTGCCTGCATCCCGCGGATGGGGCTTGTTTGTGCCAATTGCTGGCATGCCGCAGCCCGGTACTGGCCCACGAACCAGGGGTTGGGGACCCCTGATATAGTCCAACCCCTGCCCAAGCAAGAGTCGTTACAACGTTTCTGACAGATGGCAGCCCAGTCTCTTCTTGAAAGCCTCCAGTGATGAAGCACCAACAACAGAAGACTAGTTCAGGATCCAAAAAGAAATAGACAAATCTGAAAAATGGGCCGTATCCAACAAAATGAATTTTAATGTGGAAAAAAGCAAAGTCTTACATTTAGGCAGGAAAAACCAAAGGTACAAGTACAAGGCAAAACCTGGCTCAAAAACAGTAACTGTGAGAGGGACCTTGGAGTCCTAGTGGATGATCACTTGACTATGAGCCAGCAGTGTGCAGCCGCTGCCAAAAAAGCCAATACAATCCTGGGTTGTATAAATAGGCATAGAATCAAGATCATGTGAAATATTAGTACCGCTTTATAAAATCCTAGTGAGACCACACTTGGAATACTGCAATCAATTTTGGTCACCATACTACAAAAAAGATGTTGAGACTTTGGAAAAAGTTCAGAGAAGAGCAACTAAAATGTTCAAAGGCCTGCAGACTAAAACATATGAAGACAGCTGCAGGACGTGGGTTTGGTTAGTCTAAAGAAAAGAAATGGGTGACATGATACCAGTATTTGAGGGGTTGCCACAAAGAAGATGGGGTCACGTTATTCACCAAAGCACCAGAGGGCAGGACAAGAAACAATGGTTGAAAACTGATCAAAGAGAGAAGCAACCTGGAATTAAGGAGAAACTTCCTAACAGTGAGGACAATTAACCAGTAGAACAGCTTGGAAGTTTTTAAGAGACTAGATAGCCACCTGTCTGAAATGGTACAGGTTCTCCAAGGTTCTATTCTATTCTATTCAATTCTATTCTATTCTATTCTATTCATTGGTGATTGTTCTGTCAGGAAATGTCTCCTTATTTCCAGGTTGAATCTCTTCTTGATCAGTTTCCATCCATTATTCCTTGTCTGTTCTTCAGGTGCTTTGGAAAATAGGTTGACCACCTCCTCTCTGTGACAGCCCCTCAAATATTGGAACACTGCTCTCATGTGTCCCCTGGTCCTTCACTTCACTAGACTAGCCATGCCCAGTTCCTGTAACCAACCGTTCATGTGTTTTAGCCTCCAGTCCCCTAATCATCCTTGTGGTCTTCTCTGCACTCTCTCCAGAGTCTCAACATCTTTTTTATAGTGTGGAGACCAAAATTTATTGCAGTATTCTAGGTGTGGTCTAAGGCTTTATAGAGTGATATTAGTAACTCACGTGATCTTGATTGAATCCCTCAGTTAATGCAACTTAGGATTGCATTGACATTTTTGGCTGCTGTGGCACACTGTTGGCTCATATTTAATTGTCCACTAAGATTCCAAGATCCCTTTCACAGTTGCTGCTATTAAGCCTGGTTTCACCCAATTTATATGTGGACTTTTGGTTTTTCTTGCCTAAGAGTAAGACTTTACTTTGCTCTATATTGAATTTCATTTTGTTAGATAGGGCCCAGTGTAAAAGTCTGTCAAGATTACTCTGGATCTTGATCTAGAGCAGGGGTGTCAAACTGCTGGCCCACCCCATTGCTGGCAATGCAGTCGTGATACGTCATGACACATCACGTGATGTGGCGAGTTTGACACCCGTGATCTAGAGTGTCATCTGCAAATTTGGTAAGTTCCCCTTCTATTCCCTCATCTAGGTCATTTATGAAGATGTTGAAGAGTACTGGTACCCCACTCCTTCCGTCCATGAAGATGTAGTACCATTAAGGTCTACTCTTTGAGGGCAGGGTTGGTCATGGATTAAAAATCCATCTGATGGTGATGCTGTCTATCCCACTTTTTTTAAGCTTTCCAAGAAGTAAGTTGTGGTCTATTTTGTCGAATGCCTTGCTGAAGTCCAAGTATACCACGTCCACAGTATTCTGCTGGTCCACCAATTTAGTTACCTTATTAAAGAATAAAATAAGATTGGTTTGGCATGATCAGTTTTTAACAAACCTGTGCTGCTTCTAGTTATAACTTTGTTTCTAGATGTGTTTGCAGATCTGTTTTTTGATTATCTTTTCCAGTATCTTCCCAGGGAGAGTTTTTCTTTTAGTGCATTTGGAATTGTATGATGGCCTCTTGCTATGCTTCCAAGTAGTATCTCAATTTCTAGTGTTTTCTTGTACAGAATTTCTCTTTAAATTGCGCAATACTTGGACCTCGCATTCCAAATCTACGCACCCGATTTTGGAACGAAAGTGGAGGGATTAGCTTCCGAGTTGACTGTGCGTGGGCTATAAGGTCCCTTTTGCATGTTTTGCTGGTCGATCAGTCTGGAAGGGGGACTACAAGTGGGCGACAAAACTGCAACCGTATTTTTCTATTTTTCTTCGTTTGCTTCTAAGCTCCCCTTTATACTTTGCCGTGGGTGATGGGTGTTAGGAACGGATTGTTCCCGGTTATGGGGAAACTTGATGGAGAAACAACCTATCTGCTTTGGCATGTAGTTGCCTCAAGAAAAAGTAGCATTTTTCTCAGGCTTGCAGGCTACTCCATTCTAATGGTACCTAAAACGGATAGATCTTCAACGATGTTAAAAAAAAGAGAGGCGGAAACCATTTCTTAGCAGACAGTTTCCTAGACACAGCTTGAAAACTCGCGCTTGCGTCATTTCACTGCTCCCTGACTGCCTCGCTTAGTTCAGCTAAGGCTGAAACAAGATATCCACCACGTCTGCGCAGTACATGCCTCTGAAGACTTTGTACAAGAGTCCAAAGTTTTTTGGAGTGCTGATGTCTGTCCTCCCGTAGCTTCGCGAGTCGGTTTCAGCGGTGGCCAATGTCAGCTGCCGGCATGTTGGGGGCTAAGATGGGAAGAAGCAGCCGCACTATATACCATCTGAGGAAAGGCCTATGCTCGCCGCTGGCTAATGGCGCTGGCTCCTTTCTCGGTCCCCTGGGCTTCTCTCAACTCTTGCGACTTCCCTCCTGTCCTGGCATTTTCAGGGGGCTGCAACAGGGAAACTGCCGCCATCCAGGTAGCATTTTTCCTTAAACATATTTAAACATTCCAGGTAGCATTAACATTTTGCCAAAGGTTGTGATACGCGATCATAAGGAACTGTACACGGCAGCAGATGAGAGCTTAGAGCAGGGGTAGGCGACTTCGGTTCTTTTATGACTCATGGACTTCAACTCTGCTGACTCAGGAATTCTGGGAGTTGAAGTCCATGAGTCATAAAAGAGCCAAGGTTGCCTACCCTGGCTTAGAGAAAGCATTCGGGAGAAACCCCATTTCAGAATCTTTAATTTGTAACAGAATATAATAAATTGAAGCGATTCATGAGGAAAATCTTAGCTGTGTGGTCCCTAGGGTCGGAAACGACTTGATGGCGCATAATCAAATTCAAACGAGATCATAATTGTTGCAAATTTGGGGGAAGTTGAGCAAACCTTATTTTGGAAATGCAAATCGTTGGGTTAGTCATCTGTCAACAAAAGATAGGATTTCTATAAAAAAAAGGCAGGGTTCTCTTTGCTTACATTTTATAAGTTATCATCTCTGAAATGTGTGCTGAGGGTAACTGGATATATTGAATAGAAAATAATGCTTACAGTTGCTACCTAAAAAAAACAACTGCTTTAACTGGAGAATTATTTCCAACTAAATTACAATGTTTTTACAAATTACATGGAATGCCTTAAATATTCATTGCAAGAAAACAAATAATTAAATAATTAACACAAGTTTATGCCCAGTTAAGTCTCAGCATATAGCTAATCTTGACTGATCTAAAAAAGCTAAGCAAATACTTGGCTTTATTTGGCTGGAAGACCTTTAATGAGATCCTAATATTGTATACTAGTCTAAGAAGTTGGAAAAAAACATCTGAAAAGAAAGCAGTTATGGACTTATGCAGCCTTGAAGTCATCAGGAGCTGATTTTGGATTGTGGGAATCTTTACAGCACTGCACTTTGTAATAGAGACTGATATTCTCAACATGACTTGTTTATTAATTTTATTATTTTATTAATTTTTATTCCCACTTTTTCTATAGGAATTTAAGCAGCTTATTATAGGTCTCTATTTTATCTCTCTCCAGAACAATAAGGCTGGGGCTTCTCTTGGAGAGAGGCAGAGGATAACAATAGCAATAGCACTTAGACTTACATACTGCTTCATAGAGCTTTACAGTCCTCTCTAAGCCGTTTACAGAGTCAGCATATTGCCCCCAACAATCTGGGTCTTCATCTTACTGATCTTGGAAGGATAGACGGCTGAGTCAACCTTGAGCCGGTCAGGATTGAGGGAATTGAACTCCTGGCAATGTGAGCAGAATTAACTGGCAATACTGCATTCTAATTACTGCGTCACCATGCTTGATAATGGATTTAAGTGATTACCAATGGTGCAATTAAACCGATTCATTTACATTAACCAGAATACATGAAATTTGCCTTATTGAATCAGAAAACTGGTTTATCTAAACTGGTACTCCAGCAGAATCAGAAAAGCTGTGCAAGTCCTATGGCAGAGGTCTTTACTACCTCTCCTACATACTATCCTTATAATACAAAACTACATAATCTAAGGCCTCTAGGTTTCATGTAGCCTCAAGAAGTGTTAGGTCTTTCCTTGGAGTTCCTTCAAGAGTTTCACTGAATTGAGATTTTCCAAATGTATAAGAAGTAAAGATTTATAAAATATGGATAGAATACCCATATTAGCAATATTTAACTTTAAATATATTTAAATTAAAAACAATTAAAATTATTGTCAATTATTTGCCATGCTCTTGCTCCCGAGTATGTAACTCAAAAGCTATATGCATCTCTTGGCTTTAGAAATGTTGGCTGATCTACATTTTAACAGTGGATCCAGATCTAACCATTCTTCTACAATAATCTACAAGGTAGATTCTTTCAATCTCCAATGTAATGCTAGACCACTTACCATTCTGCAGAAACAGGAATTGATGACATTTTCCACATTCTGCCTTTATGCTGCTAGAAAGATGATCTTCTCTGAAATTATATTGCTTTTTTTCAACAGTAGTATTTCAACGCTTTCCACTGGCATAAACAGGGCAGTCTGGTCCTCTTATACAATTCACACTTTCACCCCGTCCCTTCTCTGTGTTCTGAATAACCATTTTATACTGAGCTGTCAGTCTGCTTTCCATAAAAAGCTGGATCTTTTCTTTTTTTTAAATTGCTTGGTTTAATGAAATGCTGGCTATTTCTTTGAGTATTTAAGTATAGTGGAACTTTGAAATATTTTTTTTTTGGCTTAAGCTGACAAAATCAACAAGAGTTCTGTCAAGTTTCTCCTTTCTTTCAGGTGACTCAAAAAACTGCTGTCTTTTTTTAAAACCAGTCCTCCAAAAATCTGTCCCTGAAAAAGGGAAAGCAATTAGCACTTGATTTTTTTGGCATATGGGGGAGGGGGTAAAATCAGGAAAATCTATCACATGTCTTCTCTGTTGACCATGATTCAAACACAATAACTTGCCATTACTAAGGCCCAAGTAAAGGAGGAAGTTGCAACCTAAAAAGGATTTCTTAAATTTGCTTCATTTCTAGCATGAAGATTCTATCTTTCAGTTTTTGAAACTTTTTTTTTCTGATTTGAAGAAAATTTTCTTCAATGCTTGAAAAAAACCATGTTAAAAAGTTAAAGCAGTTATGAGTTTAAGAAAAATCTATATGAGAGCAATACTTATAGATTAGCTCAAGGTTCACAAAAATGTTTAAACTTTTACAACTTTCAGATTCGTTAATCAGATAGTATGTTACAAAAAGCAGGAGGGAAAGCAGAGGTGAGAAAAGGTAATGATGTTGGCAGAAATTTGGATTTCAAAGTGGAAATTATGTACACTGGTTAAGAGGAAAAGGCAGTTCTATTTTGTTTTCAAATGGGCTATATGTGTATAATAGAATAATTAAGCTAGAGTTAAGTCGTACCACAATCTAAGAAGTTCAGGTGGCATCTAGAGTTGCCTCTGAATTACTAACATGAGCAAGTATTCTTGGATTTTATCAAAGATATGACACAGAATTATGCAATGGTTCAGTTTCTAAGGGAAAAACGCACTTTGCAACTGCAACACAATTTTACCAGAAAAATGTTTGGTTTAAGAAGTTGACATACATGCCTGTAACACATTCCAAAGTATCTTTTTTTCTCTTCAGATTTCTAGTCCTGAAAAATCCTGTTTCCTAATTTAGATCAAATACAGTAGTACTGGAACCCATCTCTGTGCTTAGGTGAAAGACATGGTTTTATCCTAGGTTGCAAAAAGAAATGTAAAGCCTGTATCTCCACCCCCAAATAAAGCTACCTGTTTCAGCTACTCTTGGTTTTCTTCTTCCTATCAAAAAATACCCATTTTTAAAAAATCTAACAATGAATGTGGGTTTGAGCACAATTAAGTTTTCCATTTAAAAAAATGTTGATACACAAATGCTTAAATGTAGTAAACATTCTACTTTCTAAATCATAAATATCTTTATCAAATATTCCCATTCTCTTAAAAGTCTTTGATAGGTTAGCCAATTTATACTCTTGTGCTAGAAAAACTATTCCCCCCCTATAAATAAGGCACTCAAAATATTTAAACAAAAGAAAGCCTGACTGTAGTTTTAACATTAGCACATGTAATAAAAGCATATTTCCAAAGGATGGCAGAATTGGATTAAAAACCAAGTTTTCTCTCTAAAACAAGGAAGTATGTTTTTCAATACAAGAGACAATTGTGGTCAAAATTGCTAGAGGTTTCCCCTGCTTCTGGTCTTTGAGGAAATTTGCTCTTTATGGTGTGTGTTTAGAAGTTGCAAATTATGCTAATTAAGGTGAACAATTTTTTCCCTGAAATATGACATTAGCCTGATAATGAACTGATGATTATAATAGCATTTTCCTATTCATAACCAGGTGCTGATACAGTGAAGCCACTTGATGGTGTAAGAATTCTTGATCTAACAAGGTTTGTGCTGCTTTGGATGCTGTTTTGAGAATTATTTAAATTGCCTCAAGCAAAGTCTTTGACAAAAATAACATTTTAGGGGAGGGACAATAAGATTGTAATCATCTGCTGAAAGGAGATCAGAAGTAATTAATGTATTTTGAATTCTTTTTTCTTTTTCCTTCATTTCTTGTATTTTTTTTTGTTTCTTGTTATTTTTTTTACTTTCCCCCTCCTTTATTTTTTTATTTTTGAAAAAATTCTTGATTTAAAAAGAAATGATAATATTTTTGCTATTTGCTGGATTGACTAGGTTAGATTGAATGATGCGTTCCACGTATATTCCCTTAAATGTTGCTATTTGATGAGATCTCAGAGACGTACCTTGGTGGCTGCTGCAGGCCTTTGGAACAATCTCCCACCTGAGCTCCCAAGGATCTCTAATGTGGAGGGCCCTGGGCACCTGGCTCTTCCCCAAGTATTGAGTTAGAATGTGAGAGGATTCTTGGTCTAGTGTCGGGAAAGGGCTGTCTTATTTTTAGCCATGTTTTATGGATTGTTGTGAGCTGCCTAGAATAATTATATGAGATAGGTGGCCATATAGATCCTATAAAATAAATAAATTTATACATACATGCATAAATTTCATTATTAAATGTTGCAGAGTACTTGCAGGACCTTTTGCCACTATGAACCTCGGGGATCTTGGAGCTGAAGTAATCAAAGTGGAAAAACCAGGTAAAAGTGGTTTATTTTTAATGTGAAAGACACATTACAAGTTTTTTTACAAGTTCCAGACCAGGCATGTCAAACTGCCGGCCCGTGAGCCAGATGCGTCATGCCGAACCATGCCCACCCCATTGCCGGCAATGGGGAAAAAGTCACAATACGTTGCACGACATCATGTGACGTCACGAGTTTGACATGCCTGTTCTAGACTACTTTTGTTTCTCAAGTGAAGCATATTAAATAAAACTAATGTTAGAGAAGGAGGGAAGAGTAAAAAGAAAATTATGATAGTAATATAGTATGGAAATATGAATAGAGATTTTTCACCCTGTCTCAAAATTGGAAAACATGGGATCATACAGTGGTCACAGTTCCACGAAGACTTAAATACATTTAAGATATTTTATCTCAAGGCTTTAAATATGCTTGGTTGTGACAATAGATTTTTCTCAAGGGTGAGTACATTGGGGGAGCCTGATATACAACATTTAGATATACAAAACAATATTTAAAATAAAATCAAATAAAGAGAAATTAATCACATCCTTCTTCAAATTCTTGAAACACATAATATTTTAATAGAATACTAAAGCATTTTTATTTTACTTTCTTAATTCAAGACAGCTTAAGTTATCTGCTTTAAATAGAATTTTAAATTTTGATAATATTTTAAAAATTTAACTATCATTATTAATGTCTCTATAATCATATTTTTCATCTGCAGTGACCAATGAAAATAAATGTGATCTATTGGTTGGAATCCATGGTGAAGTAAAGTGCTACAAATGACCCAATTGTCTCTCAGTATGATCTCAATTATTGTGAGGTTATGAAAAGCAATGAGAAGGATATGGACAATATATCCTCCTTCTCTTGTTATAGGTTATCATGGAGCATATTCAAAAAAGTTGATGGTAATTGGCATTTAGTAACAACTGGAAAGCCATATGTTGTTCATATATGGTAAAGATGAAATGAAATATATCCTTATTTACAAATCTCATAGGTGACTGCAGTTTGTGGAAATGATTATAAACGTTCCCCTGATTCTGTCTGTTAAATTCTGCATGCATTTTCCTATTTTTCAAAAAAAAAAAAGACTGATGTAAGGACTCACCTCAGCTAACCATCCAAGAAAGCAGAACTCTTGAAACAGGCATTGTCTCAAAAGGAACTTTTATTAGGGGTTAGTGACAGTAGGGAAGTCAAGGCGAGATCTAGGGAAAAGCTTGCCTAAATGGTATAGTTAAACTAGCAATCTTCCTCCTCCCACCAAAGTCATAGTCTCCATTTGAAATCCAGCCAATCCACAGGTGGTACGATATTTGGGTAACTGGCACAGTTGGCGCGCATCTCAAGGTCTTCTCCAGTTTCTTTTCTCCATAGCTGTCTCCCTGATAAGGGAGACACAGTCTTTTTTCAAGTGGATAGGGGAGGGAGAGGAAAAGCAGAAAGCGAAAGTTATCCCAAGCGAAAGTAAATCCTCCCCCTCCCAGTAGAATGGCAGGCCCCAAAGAAGAGCACCTATGCAGGGAAAACAATAAGGATTTGAGGACCTGACATATGCCCCCCTCTAGAAGAACAGGAAATCGATCTAGAAAACAGAAAAAGGAAAGGGGAAAAGAAGCAATACAGATATATCAATCAGGTTTATCAGGATATTTAGTATAGAAACGTTTGAGAAGTCTAGGGGCTCTAACATGCTTATATACCCACTCATTCTGGGAGGAAGAAAGGTTGTTCCAGGCTACTAGGTACTGTGTCACCTCATAATGTTTTTGAGAATCCAAGATATCTTTAATTTCAAAGTGTTGTTCATCCTCAACCATGATAGGCGTGGACACCTGAGGTGCAGGAGTTCTAAGGTTAGAGGTAACCTCTGGTTTGAGCAAGCTGCAGTGGAAGACAGGGTGGATTTGCTGTAGGTTTTTTGGCAAGTTCAATTCAACCATCACAGGGTTGATGATATGCTTGACAGGGAAAGGTCCTACAAATTTAGGGCCTAACTTCTTTGAAGGTTGTAAAGATTGCAAATACTTTGAGGAGAGGTATATCCTGTTCCCAACTTTATATGGCTTTTGCTCCACTCTCCGTTTATCGGCTTGAGCCTTATAAGTCTCTCTGGCTTCATCCAAAACTTTCCTGACTACTGGCCAGGTATTCTGCAACTGTTTAATCCATTCCTGCAGGAGGAAATTTCAGGTTCCTTGGTAGGGAGTTCAGGCATGGCTATGAAAGTCTGACCATTAGCTACTTGAAATGGAGTGAAACCTGTACTGCAATGCACAGCATTATTATAAGCAACTTCAGCAAAAGGCAACAGGTCAGACCAATTGTCCTGCTGATAATTAATAAAACATGTCAAGTATTGTTCTAGAACTGAGTTCAGTCTTTCTGTCCCCCCATTCGTTTGAAGAAGATGGGAAGATGACAGCCCTTGACTAGAACCCATCAAGTCCAGAAAAGCTTTTCAGAACTTAGAAGTGAATTGAACCCCTCTGTATGAAATTATGCATTGTGGGGCACCATGAAATCGATATACGTTTTGCACAAAGAGTTTAGCTAAAGTCTTTGCAGTTGGGATCTTAGAGCATGGAATGAAATGAACTTGTCTAGAGAACAAACCCGTTACGACACAAATTACAGTGTTTCCAACACTTTCAGGCAGTTCCACGATAAAATCCATAGAGATCTTTCTCCAGGATGCTGACGGACTTGCTACCGGTTGTAGCAGTCCTAGAGATTTCCCTTGCCAGCGTTTAGCTGTTGCGCATGTGGGGCAGCTGGCTACATAGGTTTCTATGTCCTTTTTTAAAGCAGGCCACCAAAATTGCCTCTTAAGGAAATGTAAAGTTTTAACAAATCCAAAATGTCCAGCAGTTTTCGAGTCATGCCCTGCTTGCATTACTTTAAGTCTTAGGGCATCTGGGACATAAAGTTTTCCTGCAATCCAGGCTAATCCATTTTTAAACACACACAGGTTATTATGGTTCCAAAACCACTCATCGGTCTCTAACGTAGTTTTAAAATCCTGCAACAAAGTTTTTCCGATAGGAGCCACAGGTCTTAACTGGGCCCTGGTGGTTACAGGGGCTGCTAATTGATGAGGATGTAAAAATGATTTAGTCACTTCTGCTTTCTTGCTGTTATATTGTGGTAGTCTGGACAATGCATCTGCTAAAAAATTATTTTCCTCAGGGAGGTAAGGGGTAGTGAAATCAAAACGATGAAAGTGTTGGGACCACCTTGCTTGTTTGGGTGAGAGTTTCTTGGGAGTTTTCATCGCTTCAGGATTCTTATGATCAGTCCATACTTGAAGCGGTATTTTATTCCCTTCCAGGAAATGCCTTCAAGTGAGGAGAGCCCATCGTACGGCATAGGCCTCCTTCTCCCAAGCTGCCCACCTCTGCTCAGTCTCTGATAATTTCCTAGAGATGTAAGCACAAGGTTGCAATTGTCCCTCTTTATTTCTCTGTAATAAGACCACTCCTACAGCCACATCGCTGGCATCAGCTTGAATTATAAACGGTTGTTCTGGGTTTGGGTGTTTCAAAACTGGCTCCATAGAAAAAAGTCTCTTAAGTTTCTCAAAAGTGGCTTCACATTCCCCTGTCCATTTCAACGATTGACTGGGTTTCTATTTATCCCCCCCTCTGGTTTTTAATAAGTCTATGATTGGAAGGGCAATTTGTGCAAAAGACGGGATGAATTGTCTGTAAAAATTCGCAAATCCTAGGAAACTTTTGAGTTGTTTCCTAGTTTTTGGAGGAGCCCATTCCAAGACTGCTCTCATTTTCTCTGGGTCCATCTCTACCCTCTCGTTAGATATACGATAGCCCAAGTAATCAATATGATCTTTGTGGAATTCACACTTTGACAGTTTGGTGTACAGTTTGGCTGAGCACAGTTTTTTCAGTACTGCTCGGACTAGCTTAATGTGTTCATCTTTGGTTTCTGTGTAAATAGAAGGTAAACCAAAAACCCCTTATATAGGTGTTCATGCAGAACTTCATTGATTAATTGCATAAATACTGCAGGGGCCCCTTATAGTTCAAAAGGGAGAACTTTAAATTGGAAACAATCCAATGGGCAGTTGAAGGCAGTTTTCTATTTATTCCCTTTCTTTATTCATATGCGGTAATAAGCTTCTCTCAAGTGTAGCTAGCTAGGAAAAAAAATCCTTTTGACAAATGCGCTAACATGTTTTTCATTAAAGGTAGTGGATACAGGTTTTCCACACACACAGCGTTCAGACTTCTATAATCTACACCCAGACGAAGAGAGCCATCTTTCTTTTCTCTGAATAGTACAGGAGCTGCTACCCAGGGTCTAGCCGGTTCTATAAAACCCCGCTCTAAATTATTTTTGATAAACTTTCCCAGTTCATCCAACTCCCTGGGAGTCATGAAGTACACCTTTGGCTTTGGCAGTTTCGTCCCTAGAATGATTTCAATAGACCAGTCTGTGGGTCGATGAGGGGGGAGTTTGTCTACACTTTGTTCGCTGAATACCTCAGCCAGATGTTGGTATTCCATTGGGAGGCTCTGCAAGTCTGACTCACTGAGGGCAGAGGCAAATTTGCGGCGTAATCCACATCTCCCACCGTTTTCTTTAGAGACGGGCGGGGCTTCCTCCTGTGGGAATTTTAGCTGCCCTTCATGGGGTTCCATTTCTTTAGCCAAGCCAGTCCCAAAACTAATGGCCACTTTATCCCTAGGGCCACAATAAATGCTAGAGTCTCTGCATAGTCCCCCAGGTCAATATGTAAAGGTCTGATGGGAAAACTGGCAGACACCCTCCCTACAACCAAGCCGTCCATTTGACAAAAAGTAATAGGAGTTTTTAGTTTCCTGAGGGGTATTCCCATTTTCCCCACTAGTTCTGGGCTGTTCATGCATCGGGTGCACCCTGAGTCCAGCAAGGCTGCTAATTTTACTGCCCTCCCAGTGCCAGGTATGGAAAGTTCTAGGGGCACTGTTATGGGTTCAATTGGCCCACTCGCCAATGGGTCATTTTCGTAATCGCTTTCCGTCCCTTCTGGGTCATTGTAGCATGGAGTTGGAGCTCGACCCTCTCTGTCGCGACCACGGGGGAGCTCTATGACCTCTTCAGATCTCATCGCAGTCTCCCTGGGGTGCAGTGAGATTTTGGGGGGTCTTCCGGCTGGTAGACGATCCCCTTTCTTGGCAGATGTCTTGTGCGGTAATTCACGGCTCGATGTCCTTCTTTACCACATTTGAAGTGGTAGTGGTATGAGGTGGGGCAGGCGAAGCTTGAGTGGTCTCCCCTCGCTTCTCTGGCTGCAGTCTGAAGTTTGGTCTCACTGGGCAGTGTAGGTGCTTGCGTTGATCGATCTCCACTTCCTCAGCTAACAGGCACCAATCATATAGTCGTCCCGGGGCTCCATGAGCTATGCAGGTATTGTACAACTCTTTGTTGAGCCCATCCTGGAAACAGCTTACCAGGATGACTTCTACCAGTTTAGACAGCTGGCCAATTCTCTGAACTCTTTGATATACTCAACCACTGGTCTTCTTCCTTGCTTCACTGTCTTTATGCGCTCCCAGGCTTTCTTATCTGCCAGCTAGTCTTCGAAACATCTGCAGAGAGCAGCCATAAAACGGTTGAAATTCTTCAATTCGGGTGCGTTGCAGTTGTACAGGATCACCATCCAATCAGCTGCTCCACCTTCCAAAACTAGGGTAACTACCTGAACCTTTTCTACATCGGTAGGCAGTATTCTCCCATAGATTTGCATGTAGGTGAACACTTGTGCCAAGAAATACCCCAATCGCTTCAGATCTCCATCAAACTTCACTCCGATCGGAATTGGCTTCACCTCGGCCAGTTTAGGTGGTCTGTTCCTGGTTCCTTGAGATGGATGGCCTCGCCGCGGTGCTGCCGCCAGGGCTCTAGCCGCTGCCATCTCTCAGACCTCCTCTTCCTCCGATTCACCCTCCAACTCTTCCTCCAATTCAGGGCATTTTTTCAGCTGCACCTTGAATTCATTGAGGGTCTTTTTCACATGCTCCATCCCCGCTTCCATTTTCTCCGACTTCGATTCTTCCTTTTCTCTATCTTTATCAGGCGGGGCAGGTTCTGGATTTGTCTTCTTCACCTCTTTCTTCCCTCCACCTCAAGTAAGGGTGACTTTTGGGGCTTTTTCTTCCCATCCTTCTTTTTCCCCAACCCTGGGTGGCTTGATCTTCTTCACCAAAAGGACCAGCTTCTTCCAGATCCCTGGGGAGCTCTCATCGGGTTTCAAACAGAGGAGGTCTTTGGCCCATTTCTCTGCCTGGAACTCCTCCATGTGGAATTCAGTTGCGACTCCCCTGGCAGAGCAGCAGCTTCTCCAAGTTGAGTTCTATGGAGATCTTGCCTTATGTAAGGACCCACCTCAGCTAACCACCCAAGAAAGCAGGGAATCTTGAATCAGGCACTGTCTCAAAAGGAACTTTTATTAGGGATTAGGGAAGTCAAGATGAGATCTGGGGAAAAGCCCGTCTAAACAGTATAGTTAAACTAGCAATCTTCCTCCTCCCATCAAAGTCATATTGTCCATTTGAAATCCAGCCAATCCACAGGTGATACGATGTTTGGGTAACTGGCACAGTTGGTGCACATCTCAAGGTCTTCTCCAGTTACTTTTTTCCATAGCTGTCTCCCTCATAAGGGAGACACAAAATCTTTTCTCAAGTGGATAGAGGCGAGAGAGGAAAAGCAGAAAGTGAAAGTTATCCCAAGCGAAAGTAAATTACCGCCCCCAGCAGAATAGCAGGCCCCAAAGAAGAGCACCTATGTGGAGAAAACAATAAGGATTTGGGGACCTAAGAACTGAATAATATTAACATCCACTTTAATTTTCTCTAAAAAAGATAATAAATATATGCATACATGTTATATATTTATCTGTAGGTTATCAGTGTAGCACAGATTTTTAGATAGATACATAGAGCTATATAGGATAGATATTTATTGTCAGCATTGGTCTGCAAATTTGCTTGAAGTTACTATAGATCCAAATTAGCTATAAATATTAGGTTAGAAAAACATAAGAAAACCAACAGTGTCAATGATAAAAGATATTAGTGTTGTGTTAAGTTGATAGCCCTTAATTTGTGTTGTCTTGTATGAGAAACATTTCTATGCACTGTTTCCTAGTCCTGTCCCCTGGCAATAGATGACTATAGAAACTCTCATTTAACTTCTGAAAAGGAATACAGTACCTGTTTTTAGTTTTCACATCTGTGTTCCAGACTTCTGCTCTGGAATGATAAATGTGCGTGTGTTGCTTATCAGAATTCCAGATGTTGAAGTAATTGCTATAGGTGTTTATATTATGCATATCTGTTATTGCAGAAGATTCTTTGCCTCTTATCTGTCTGTTTATGTCTGTTGGTCTTTGTATATGTTGGTCTATCTGTCCATCCATCCATCCATCCATCCATCCATCCATCCATCCATCCATCTACTATCTATCCACTATCTATCTACTATTTACTATCTATCGTCTGTCTGTCTGTCTGTCTGTCTGTCTGTCTGTCTTATCTATCTATCTATCTATCTATCTATCTATCTATCTATCTATCTATCTATCTATCTATCTATCTATCTATCTATCTATCTATCTATCTATCTATCTATCTATCTATCTATCTATCTATCTATCTATCTATCTATCTATCTATCTATCTATCTATCTATCTATCATCTGTGTTGTCTGTATGAGTGATTCTCTATATAAATTAGTTCCTGCACAATACATCATTTTCCAGGTACAAATCTAAAGATTCAATATGTATCTTTTAGAACTTAGCACTTCAGAAACATAAATGATTTCCTAATTTAGATCTTAATCGTTACTAGAAAACAGCATATCAAAGAAGGCCTTTAATCAAGTTTGATCTTGTTTTGCATAGGAGAATTTTGTGTGGGTCTGGATTACGGTACTTAGAAATGCATAGTCACCAATTACATTTTGAAGTGTAATTTTGAGGACTTGATTCATAAGGTTGTGTGAATGCAGAAATATTTTCTTACATACTTACATGCTTTTCTAAAGAAGTTGTAATACTTTTGTATTATATTAATAATATCTTCATCCATATTGCATTAATTTAATTGGACTGAATCTTATGCAGCCATAGTTTTCAGTACTAAAACTTTTGACATTTAAAAAGAATATTTTTATAGGCCACTAAAGGTTTGAAGGCTATAATTTAAGCTGGAATTTGGGATAGCAATGTGATTTGTAATCACATAAGTATACAGAATGTTGCCGGAAATTTGTTAACATTAGCCATTTCTTACTTTTAGGATCTGGGGATGACACTCGATCCTGGGGACCACCATTTGTTGGAAATGAAAGTGTTTATTTTCTCAGTATAAACAGAAATAAAAAGGTAATTAAAAGTCCTCCTTGTAAGACTAAATGTTTTAAAGTATGCAATTCATTGTTTCTACTTAGGCAGTTCCTGTTGCATGAGTAGTACAGATGTGGGCCCTCTGGCATACTTTTGAGAATTAGCTCCATCCACAGATGAATAGTAGAGATGTGAGAATTAGCCCCGCCCATCATGGAAAATTCCCACACCCATCCGCACACGAGCGTAATTGAGGAATAGAAATGTGGGAAGTCTCCACACCATACAATTTTCCCCCCTTTTATCTACAAAAATGCAATTCTATCCATTCTTTATGGAATGTAGCTATTGAGAAACCGATATCACAAGGCAGTAGCAACTGCATAATTTAGCATTTGTATAGAGGAACGTTGATATTTTGGCAAGATAATCCACTTGCATATTATCTCTCTTTAACCAAACACGAGTTCTATATTCCTAAAGAATACATCATGAAAGATCACACTAAGCTTGTTAACATTCTTTGGGATTGTAAGTCAGAATACAAAAAACTTGAGCATACAATGCTTAAAAAACCCATCGTGTTGCAAGCAGTAGAGCCCTAAAAGGCATTAAAAGAATTTCTTTCCATATAAAAAATGTCCATCGACAAATTCAGATGAAAAGATACCAGCAACTCACAAAGAATAGTTTCCGGAGGAGTTACTTTATCACAAGTTAATAACATGTTTCTAAAACACAACAGTGGTATCACTACAACCAATTATATTAATTTGGATTCACATAAGATTGATAATGTAGCAGATCCAACCGATGCACAAGATGTCGCAACTAAGAGCTATGTGGATGCTACTAACAAAGTGACCAGTGACCTGCACCTGAGTATCGGCTCTGACATAGTCAGGTGTCTGGGTTGTACAGATCTCACATCTGGGAAAGGATTCGCCCTTGTGCTGGGAAATTTGCAAAACCGGTTGCGCTTTACCGTTGCTGAACCGCCAATGATGTAGATGCTGATTACTCTGGAAACCACACATGGATTTCTGGTCCGAGCTGCTGACCAAAACGTGTGACAGCTCGGTACTATCAACGTAAAGATCCACAAGGACATTAGCATGACTAGCCACCATCTCACGTTCCTCCCGGAGCCTAGCAACAGTCAAGATGTGGCAACAAAAAACTATGTGGGTACTTCACTCATATGCAACATCTACACAGGCAGTATTGAATCTTCTAGCCTGCTATCAACCTGGCAGTCAGTCAGACTAAACGCCACTTGCAAACTGGGCGTTAGCTCGTTGTTTGAAAACACTACCGATATGATTTATCTTAAATCTGCCTCCTGGAGGCTTTTGCTTTTCGGTAAAGCAGCAAACCAAGAGGCTCATTTGCAATAGTTCATGAGACTGCATTGAATTTAATTGTAGGTTTTATTAGAAATCAGTTCAAGTTTAGCCACACATTAAACCTATTCCATGCATTAAACCTATACCATCATTAAAGTTACGGCACAGAATCATAATGATGCTGGTAATTTGAACCTGATTGTCTCATTGACAGAGAAACTGTAATGTTTTCAAACCCTATTTAGATTTGGAAACCCAATAACAGTAGCAATCTCAGTATACTACCGACATCTTTTACCCATCAGATTGAAAGTTTAGCATCCTGCCCGAAACAACCACCACAAAAGCTTCTGTTGCAGCTGGTACCTCCTCATAGAATGTCGCCTTGATTTGAACGTCTACAACTGACAATTTTAGTCTTTCGCTCTGCTTACATCGAATACCATGATTGGGAAGAAATATTTGAACCCCTGCCGGGGAGATGTTGCTCTGTATAATTAAGTTGATCCATCCCATAGTAATTCTCTTGTCATCTGAAGGGCTGGTGGTGGGCATTTGTATTTGTGAATAAACTTGTATACTGGCATTCCATATTATCTCGGCATTTTATTAATAATAGATTATCATTGAAGGCAACCATCCTATCAGTGGCATATTCAAAATAGCTCTTAAAATTTGTGAATCGCCGGTTATCAATCCAGATGCAGTAATTGGAACAAAACCGCCGCTTCCAGATTTGAGGAAGAGTCCATCATCCATTATTCCCGATCCCTTCTGGTATGTTCGAAGATAAATCCAGAACCATATTACATACAGAACCTCCCTTTTTGATGTAAATTGCAGATCCATTGATAAGTTTACTGCCAGCAGCGCCTCCTATACCTGTTAATGTCCCAGTAATGAGTGATGGTAATACGCTTGATAGAAGGAACTTGCCAGTGGTAGCTAGCATGGGCAAAATAGCTCCAATAAATCCTTCCTCAACTTTTGCATTGTCCTTATTTTTCATGTTGACAATCGCTTTTTTGTTCGCCAAAACAGGTGGAAGCGGAATGTACGACTTACTCTTTAATGGTTTGTACGCGACGGTGTTTATCTCCAACCTTTGCACAGCCTTGAACTTCCAGTTACTACCTCGCATCTGAAATATTGCCATTGACTCCATTATCTTGTCAACAGCTTTGCTATATAATTCACTGACATCGGTCGCTTCTAATACAACTTCTGTCTTTGAATGAAACGGAGCATTGGTGCTGATAACTTCTCTGCTTTTCATATTGTCACACTCCACCTTGCAAGAAAGAACCAAGTTAACTTTTGTCATGCAATTATTAGCCAGCAGATTTACAATTTTGTTTCTTACCCTTCTTAGAAATGGAATTGCGTCGACTCCTTTAATATTGTCAATAACGTATTGCTTTGCGAATCCTTTGATTGCCAACTTGCTTCGTCTGATCCGAACCTTGTTTTTGTAAAGCTTGTTGAAGATAGATTTGACTTGTGTTTTGAGCACTTCAAGTTTTTCATTCACAACTCTCTTTGGTTCTTTGGATATATAGCTAATAATCCAATCAGCATATGTGTTGATCTTGTCGTAAATTTTCTTGATAACTGAAGCTGGCATTGATGTAATAAGAATAATCTGTATATATGGAATCGGCTCATCGAATCTTGCTGTAGTACCACCAAGTAGAGCCATAAACTCAGCCTTTCTGAGCTTTGAGTAACCCCGCAGTCCCCGTTGTTTTGCAATGGCACGCAACTCACGAACAGTTACTTTGTTAACCATTTTATAATAGGCAAGAAATTTGTTTAAGGCATATTCAGTTTTGGAGTCCAAAAACCTGTTAGTTATCAACCAAGTTTATCTCGTATCTTTCTCTCCATATTTTACCATTGTAATCATTGAAGGCTTTTGTTGAACATCTTAGTGCATGTCTAGCCTTGAAGATCGAAGGATATTCAGTTTCAATTCCTGTTTCTCTATCTTTAACTATCACCTTCATTGGGTTATTACGGATCTATTTAAGGTGTGCATACTTTGGGTTTTGTGGTATTGCAGGAGCTTCAGTAGGAACAAGCCCTCTTTCAACGAGAAGTTTCAAGATCTCTGTTTTTTTCATAGTCATTATGCCTTTGATCTTGTTGTCTTTCATTATCTGCTTCAGGGCAGGAAGTGGATATTTCATTTTAAGGAACTCATCCTTTGGGTTCACAATCTTTTGTGACTTTTGCGGCTTTGTGAAACCTTCAGCAGGAACAAGCCTTTCAACGAGAAGTTTCAAGATTTCTGTTTTTTTCATAGTCTTCACGCCTTTGATCTTGTTCTTTCATTATCAGCTTCAACTTTGGAAGCAAATATTTCTTTATCGTAGACATGTCTCTTTTGTTATATACAGAAATAAATTTTAATGCATTTTCATTTTTGTCTTATAGGTGGATAGCACAGATTTTTCTAGGGTGGGGATTTCCCACATTTCTACTACTCATCTGCGTTTGTGTGCGGGTGGGTGTGGGAATTTCTCATGATGTCATTGGTGGATGGGTAGGGGATTTCCCATGATGGGCGGGGTTAATTCTCACATCTCTACTACTTGTCTGTGCTTTTGCATGGATAAACGTATGTGGATGGGGCTAATTCTCAAAAGTGTGCCAGAGGGCTCCTATCTGTACTACACGTATGCATATACACAGCATTGTTTAAAGGTGAAACAGCTATTAGATGTGATTGATTCATTCTTTCATTAATGTTCTAAGTGGATTTTTTTTCAATAATGTTCTGAATTGATAACTGAATAGAAATTGTTTTTATATTATTAAGAGAATTACATTTTTTCTTTTTACTAGAGTATAGCTATTAATATGAAGAAGGCCAAGGGAGCAAAGATAATTAAAGAGGTGAGTTTAAATTGAAAAATAAATCCTTGCATATCAAAGCAAAGTTTGTGGGGGAGAAAAAGGTCAATCAATTTCAACTTCTCGCGAAAAAAAAAGATCTCACGAAGTTGGAATTGATTGACCTTTTTCCCCCCCACAAACTTCTTTTGTTTCCCTGCACATGGCGGCAGATCATGAAGGAGAAATGGCACAGGGCTAGGAGTCAGGTAAGGAAAGGCATGGGTGCTGACGGCAGGATGCCCGCCCGCTTCACCACCCTCTCTCCCCGAGCCTCCGGCGCTCCACCTGCCACCTCAGTGCCCTTCCTGCTGCCTCCCAGCATGGCTGCCCAGGGACTACAGGGCCTGGCCTGGCACGGGAAGGGTACACATGACCTGCCTGCCTGCTTCACCATCCTCCCTCCCTGAGCCTCTGGTGTTCCACCTGCCACCTCAGCGCCCTACCCAGTGCCCACCACCCAGCACGGCTGCTCCAGGGCTGCAGGGGCTGGCCTGGCATGGGAAGGGCACGCCTTCCGCCTGCCTATCCCGGTACCGTACCTGGTTCGCCACGCTCTCGCAGCTGCATTGCTTCTCCACTCCATGTACAGGCCCCGCCCCACCCCCACGCATTCTTGACCTACCAGCAAAAGGTAAGCTGTTCCCGAAAGTAAATCCTAGTGCTTTTTTCAGAACCCAAAAGAAAGTAAGACCGGGTCTTACTTTTGGGGAAACACAGTAGATTGTTGTCAGACCTACCCCAGTTTTCTCTCTCAGGAAAGTAGGACTTGTGACTCCATTTAAATTCCCAATCTCTCCTTTCATGACTAGTCCCCTGCCAGCCAATGTGATACCAGTAAGATGTTTTGAGAAACTGGGATGTGAAGCTGGTAGCAATCCATTCTCAGAGCAAAAGGCCTTGAAGATTCTGGTACGAGCCAGTGTGGTCTTGTTACTTTCCCCCCTCCCCATCATCTTCCTATTTCCAACCATTTGATACACATGTGTGGATTGCCCCAAATGCTTCCCCCATCTCTTCCCCTTTGATGGCAGGAGCCCAGCAAGGCTCCAGGCCAACAATGGAGATCTTGACAATTGTGCCTATCCAAAACTTTGTGAATCACTAATGCTGCTGTTCAGATATTAAAGGAAAAATAAAAATATACCTTTAGTACATCCTGAGTGGCTACCCAACTAACTCTAAAATTCACAGTAATGTCTGTATAGGTTAAGTCTACCAGTAAAAAAAGAATACCATTATAATTATAGGTGTAGAGTCTTTAAAAAGTGATATGAAAATAAGGATACTTTTTGAAATCACTGAACATTTCTCTCCATTACATTTTTTAAGCATCTCTTTCAACATTGTCATTTTAAGGAAATATTTTTATCAGCAAATTAAAATTCTTTTTAACTATTGGTTAGAAAAAAACCACAACTAAAGTTGAAATTGAAAAGAACTTTCTTGGTCCAATAATAGATTGGGAAGAATAATTGATGAAAGCACTTTCTTGGCCCAATAATAGATTGGGAAGAATAATTGATGGAAAAAAATTGGTATATTAAGTCTTTGGTGAATGTAGCCACAACCAATATGGAGTAAAATGTCTTCATTTTGAGAAGCAATCTCCAACACATTTTCCCATGGCTGCATAACACACATTATTCAGTCTTCCTTTCTCCCCTATTCTCCCACATGCAGACCAAAATAATACTTTGAAACAGATTGAGCTTATGTTAATAGACTGATTTTAGTTGGTATATGCTCATACATGTGTAATATTTTTCTTCAACATTATGGAATAAAGGATTCGCTCTCCTTCCTTTTCTAATAGCAACTGTTCTTGAAGATGCCTTGCAGCTTCAGTGATATCATTGGAGCCTTTTTTCAGGCATCATGGAATTAGAAAATATTCTCTAAGCTGCTGCATACACGATCTATGGATTAGAAATTGCTTATGCCTTGGTTCCATAATCATAGCTTAAATGTGATTATTACAAAGTAAAGAAATAATTTAAATGAGCAAACCAGTCAGCTCTGTTAGGCTCTTCTTATTCTTGAGTTTCAGTTTCAGGACCGATATTTTAAGAATCAATTGCTATGTTTTATTTCTATAGAGATAAATTCAACTCTATAGAACACAGATATGCTAAAACTGTCTTTTTTACTGAGATTTTAAATTATGTTTATGGTTTGTTGTTATTGCTGCTGAATGCTTGGAAATTTGTTAAGAGTCTGACTCATTTCCACTTTAAATTTCAGCTGGCAGCTCTCTGCGATGTGCTTGTGGAAAACTATGTCCCTGGAAAACTGGCTGGAATGGGTCTAGGCTACGAAGACATCAACAAAGTTGCACCTCATATTATTTACTGCTCAATAACAGGTATTTAATTTCAGCAGTACAGTATTCTGTCATTAGCTTTATTTTCTTTGAAATTTTATATGGTTTTATTTTTAATTCTTGTTATGAAAAATGAGATGATATTCCATTCCTTATTCCCAGAATGTCAAATGCAGGAAAGAACAGGGAAATATAAATAAGTTTTAAACTATAAATTATTTTAAAGTATGATTTTAGACCAAATTTGTATTATACTTATGCAGGTAATCCCTGAGTTACGAGCATTCACTTAACGCTCGTTCAAAGTTATGTGATGAGTACCCTTAGTGCTTACGAGCAAGTCCTGCAGTTATGAATATTGCAGCACCACGGCAGTCATTCACCCATACAAGTGACCGCAGTGGCTCTGCAACATTCAACCTGGTTATTCCCTCCCTCCTGACCCCTGCCCTGGGTCTCCCTAGGCACCAGGCTTTCAATACTCACCCTGCGAAGTTTGAAATCCTTCACTTTCTTGGCTGCTCCAGGCCTTCGTTGCGTTTGCAGAGAATGGAGGCCTAAAATAACGCAAGATCATGCAAGGTCAGTGGGGCGAGATCTCACGCTACTGATCTTGCGTGATCTCATGGTACTTTAGGCCTCTGTTCTGTGCAACAAAGAATGGAACTTCGATGTATGACCACAATCGAGCCCAAAATTTATGTTGCTAAGTGAGAAATTGGTTAAGTGACTTTTGCCCCATTTTACGACTTTTCTTGCCACATTTGTTAAGGGTCATGGAATATAAACAATAACAATTGTAGATAGCTTGGTAGCACCTGTTATCAGTGACTTAGACACAATTTCAGATAGTTGACCTTCTGCCAGATATATTATTACTACTATTACAGTCGTGTCGGTAACCCCAAAGTGCTCCCAGGTGAAAGGGATTAGCTGGTGGCATCAGCATTGCCTGGGGGATGCCAGTTGGGGACTCCTTTTGTGTCCCTGTTAAGCTGCCCACTGAAGTGGTATCTATCTATCTACTTGCGGTTATCCGCTTTCAAACTTCTAGGTCAGCAGTTACTGGAATGAATGGAGCTCATCCTGCCATGCACAGCAATTGGATCTTGATTGCAAGCTTGCTGACCATCAGTCCAGTGTCCTAACCACGAGAGCCATCTGCTCAACCAGAGATATTAAATAAGATATCAATTCTAACAGACAAAATCTAGAGTAATCTGATGCTGTATCTTGTCCATAAGTAAGGAAATCAGACAGTTGATCCTGTGCAAAGATATTTTTATGTGAAACATTTCTAGTATACAATCATTTGCTCCCTGCCTCCTTGGCAGGTGCCAGAACTTACGTGTCCTTTTTATCTAAACTGTACAAGTAGAAATAGAGATATAAGGCTCAAAGGTGAGAATGATTGCAATAAAATGATGCATATTCTACAGTGAGTACAATTAATAATAATTAATGCTTAATTTATGTAAGAATAATTGCATACAAATTGTCTCAGCTGTCTAAGTAAACCTTTCGATGTATTTTATATGTAGAAAAAGAAAAAAATGTCTTCTACAGGTAGTCCTTGATTTACGACAGTAACAGAGCCTCTCCATTCATGTTGGAAATTGAGGACTACATTAAATGAAGTGCATAATTAAAGACCTCCCTGTCTGTTTTCCCCAATGCATTTATTAAATGAATGCATGGGTCAAATGCATGGGTCGTTAGATAGAGCATGGAGTGACTCAGGGATGGGGGAAACTGTGGGAGACTTAGTGCAGGCACAGGCACACTCGGGAAGTCTCCCTCCCCCCGTGAGATATCCCATGCTCTGCTTTCTGTCCCTTTGGTTCCCCAAAGACCTATGGGCCTCCTCCCCACTCCCACTCCCTTGTCATCATTTGCTTACTTACAATTCCTCCATAGCCACCTGTCACAATCGCACATTTATCTCTTGAAGATACCATTTTGCAGGATTTTTTTTCATTTTATTTTTAAAAAAGGTTAAAATACAAAACTCCAAAAAATTGAAAAGAACAAACAAATAAAAAAACACAAAACAAACAAGGCATTAAAAAGTGCATTATGAAACAAAGAAAATCAATGTATTAATCAGTATTCAAATAGTGGGGATAACATGTATATGGATGTTGGGGTTTTTTTAATGCACTTTTTTAATGTCATGTTTGTTTTGAGCAGGTTTCCTTCTCATTAAAAACTTTTTAAAGATGGGAAGAAGGTGGAAGGCAACAATGCAAGAGAAGCCATCTCACTTTCAAACTTTTATTGATTTATCAAAATATAAAATACAAAGAGAAATTCAAAAAAGTAATAGAAAAGTAGGAAGAGGGGAGGGAAAGGAAAAAAAGGTATAGTATAAAAAGGGAAAAGGACAGAAAATGGCACCAACCTCTGACTCTCTTTAGCACAGTGGAAGGTAACAACATTACAACCACAACTTTTTACTTTTACACAGCAATAGGTACAAGCCATTTCTATAACAATAAACCTATCTAATTAGTAAAAACAAAATCAAAGTTTCATTTCTTTTTTCATCGCAAGCACAAAATCTGGAAGCAATTTCAAAATAGAAACAAGGTTAGATATATTCTCTTCTTTGGATAAAAGAATCAGTTTGACCATCTCTGTTTTTCTTTGCTGTGGGGAATAGTATATGCTTCTGTTAACTCATTAATCTTTATCATAATTCATATTAAGAAAATCTTCTGTATTATTTTATTTCTTTTTAACCATAAAGGGAGGAAACACTTTTTCTAATTTTGATATTTTACTAACTTTAAAAAATATTCAAGTAATCCCTTCATTTTAAACCCAGAACCCAAAATACAATATTACATTAGAGCTTTCATTCAAGTATATATATATCACACCAATATAAGTCCAATTAACTCCAATTAGCTCATTGAATTCAAATCTTTCCCCCGAGTTTATCCTCATGGAGTAAATCTTTTTCTTCTCTTATTTTCAAATTTAATCAATAGTATTTTATAAACTTTGGGAATTATTCAGCATTACATAAAAGGACAGAAGACATGCATTTATCCATGAAGGAAAAAGTCCCAAACCTGACCTCTTAGGAGTTGTAAATTTACTTGGTACTCTTGTTTCAGTTGCACTGGGAGGGTTGTATTCAAACCATCATTATAATAAAAGCTGGTGTCAGATTTATATTCCAGAGGTACAATTAAGTTATTTGCATTGTCCAGCTTCCTGTTCTTTTTTAATATCCTCTGTGTAATTAATATCTTTGGACCCTATCAGATTTATGGTATAAATGATTTTCTGTATGGACTTTTCAAATAATTTTTGACAACAGACTCTAGCTCAGAGTTAAACGTCCTCATAGCTCCCTCTAGTGGTCAAAGAATGTTATTTATTTATTTATTTATTTATTTATTTATTTATTTATTTATTTATTCATTCATTCATTCCCTTTTTATGAATCAGAGTTCATGAAAATTGGAAAATTTCAAAGATCACAACAAAATAATACAGAACTACAGATTATTTTAAAAGTAGTTAATTAAGACCACACATTTTATCCTTTCATTTCAAAAGAAAAAATATTCCACATTTCCTTATTTTAGCTGCCACCAACAGTCGTTTAACAGTAAAGGAGACTAAAAAATGGCATATGGCTTTGTGCTGGTCCAGCATATAGCTAGCTTAGGAATTAAGAACTGTGTAGAGCAAGTAGCATTTTTAAGGGGTTAAAGTGCTGCCCCCTTAAGGGTGGCCTTCTGGGAAATGTAGTTTAGTTGTTACATGGTTATATCTATGTTCTAATTGGCCACTGGGAGGGTCTTGTATCTTTTATTACGGGACATCCTGTTACGTGCCAGTTTAGTATCTCTCTCCATGAATCCTAGCCACGAGGCTGGGAGCTCCATAGAATGGAGAAAAAGTAACCAGAGCAGCATGTGAGATTTATGAAGATGGAGGAAAATTATTCTCTTTTTACCTGCATGAATGGACAAAATATGAATCATGTGACAGATGTATCTACAATAACTGTGAGTTAATGCTTAGGATTCCTGAGGCTTCCGGTGGCAGGCGCCTTCGCTGGTCGCAGCTGATTGCTGCCTCCCGCCTGTTTTGCGTAAAAGCCGGTTTGACAGCCAGTATCAGCTGTCAAACGGCTTGAAACCTCTCCCCTGGGCATAAGGGGAGAGGTGAGCTGCCCGGGGTAGGAGTTGAGTTCCCGAGTCGCCCTATTTGGACGATGTAGGTGAGA